AGATCCTCAACCGTCCGGATCTTACACCGTCTGTTTCACAGGTGTTTTGCTCCTGTTTTGTGTTGAGTAAGAACGCACCATGCGATGTCACGGTGGTTAAGTCTAGGTCTCCTTGAATCTGCCTGGTAATTGGTCTACTCCTGAAGCACCTCAAGTGCCGGAAAAATTCCTGACTGCCATTTTGCTATATTGTCTTTGTAGCCTTCGAGCGTACAATTTTTGGAGGACGACACATCAACAGTTCCCAAGTGGCTTGATGGGATCAACAGACACACAAGCACATGACTGCTTTAAAAATATGACCCCGAGGTTGGAAATCTTCTCATACATACTGCATCTTACCCTTGGCTCCGCGGCTCAGTTTTCATGAGCATGAAGCTAATCTGTATAAGCCAAAGTATACGATGATATCAGAATTTGATGCCTGTTCTGCGCCGCAACATCCGGTAATAAGCCGCGCACTCCAGTGGCGCTCAATATGAAGCGTCGTAAACGGAGCTCACCTGAACTATCCGAGTTATACTCAGTCTCTACGTATACCTGTTGCGCAGTACAAGGCACGATAGCCAAATCTGAGGACTTGTGCTGTGGGCAACCACAGAGAAAATTCTTTTTGTCATGGAGGGATGTACTACGCGTTCCAGTTTTTTCTGTTGCGGCAATATAAACTTTCGTTGGCCTCGACCTGAACTTCACAAGAACAAACAACAGAATTACTGCGAGCGATCGGTGTTGATATCCGGCTACAGCGGTGGAGTTATTAAATACCTGCATGCTTCTGGTCAGTTGCTCTTTGTAATCTATTTGTCTTGCAGGTACAGCAGCGCTGTGCCGCCAAAAAATGCTACAATTAACCATTGTTTCTTTCATAGAGGTTTGGTGAACCTCTCTGAAACGATGACTAACCAGTCAGTCCCAAACTTTTCCGGTTGACTTCGAACCATCGTCCCCTCCAAAGCTTACGCTGGATCACCCCTGCTGGTAAGCCAGTCAGTTTCAGTGGAACAAGCAACTGGGGCAAGTCGCTTACTGGCAATTGTACTTTGACAGCCGCCGTAGACTAACGGAGGCTCCACAGGCTGGCCGAGTCAGCCAATAGGAAGGCTTGTTGGACGGAAATTTTGAACCGTATAATACGGAAAATAATGGGAAACAAAGTGAGTGTCGGCTCGCTTATTCAGCGGCAGAAGTAGCAGCAACAGCCCAGTTAGTTTGGTGTCCACCAGGCCAAATTTCCGTTTAAAATTCGAATTCCTGTTGGACTGACACGTGAGGTACAGATTTGGGGTCACTGTGCCTTGACATCTCTAGGTTTTGGTGAAATGTGAATGCTCAAACCATCCAGGGTCAGCAAAATGCTTTATGTTACAGCTCAGTGTCACAAGTTGTAACAAGCTTTTATCGCTCAACAACTCCTCCCAGAGCAAATAGACAGTGGGACCGTTAGTAACAACAGGACCTCAGCTAATCAGAAAGCCAGTCAAAGTTCTAACAGGATGCGTGCTTATGGGAAATGAGTTCTTTGGTTGACAAAGGTCTTTGCTTTCAATAATTTACTTTAAAACGTAAACCAGGATGTGAAGAACCACAAATTGTGCGTCCCTCAAAAATACCGCCACAAAAAATGCCACAGTTACCGAAAAATCCATGTCTGAGATGCTGGGCAAATGCATGCATGTAGGTCCGCATACGACACAGGGAAAACTGTCCGATTAGAGCATGTGGTCGACGTCTGCCAAGCGGCATATCAGTGGCTTCAGTGTTTTCATGCGTCTTGAGCGCCATCCGATAACAGCCTCAATCGATTGAGAAGAGGCTTATGTCCCCTGAAACTGGTATATTTCTGTGGAACTTTAAGCAAGCGTTGGAAGACGGTGCTGGCTGTATGTATGTATTTATGTATGTATGTATGTATTTTCGAATTTTTTGCTGCGAGCCACTTATGACCCACTTACGACGAAAGCGCAGTTTAGGATAGCGAATACTTGGTCTACCAGCAGTCAATTCCCCTGCAGTGACATACGGTCATATGAGAATTTCATCCGTAAAATATACCCAAGCCGATAAAAACAAGTAAAATTAGTATACCATACGATCGCCGTCGAATTTTTGGGGATACCGAGAATGCTATTTTTCTACGCAACACGCCACGCCCCTACTTGTTCGGTCGCCCAGCAACCAAAGTGATAATAATCGTAGCACAGCCTCAGCTCAACAATAAAGCCTGCCGTTACTATGACTATGTCAAAGTGCACAACCCTTGCCCTCATATAAGCAAATCAAGTCCTTGAAAGTCTGGAATGGTGTGAGATGCGCGACAATAACGAACCTGGCTAAAATATTTTTAAATCCTTAATTGTGAGGTAAACCCGTAAAATAAGTTAGCGAATTTCTAAGCGTTCAACCGACAATTGTCGATGTATGAAACTCCATTAGGAGGATAGAATTGTTCATACTTAGTATACAGCTTTGCGACAAGAGTGACCTCGCTGCACGGAATCTTGTGATAGCTGTCGAACCGTCTCAAAAAATCGTGGTTGGTTTCAATTTTACTCGCATTCAGTCGCACCATCTGAAATTTGCAAACTTCGCTGCATTAATTTGGTTTAATGATCCATGAAACATATTGCAGATTTGGCGGCCGTCGCCCTGTTGCAAACGTCACTGTATGGTGCTTCCGGAATATTTGTTTGCAAAGGTCTGTATCTGCGTAATCCACATGCTTCAGGTGCCTTTTGCTCTAGTGTAATTAAATTGAGCGACGCTGTTGGATTTAATCTGCCGGTAAGTGTAAGGAAATTCTTCTGCACAGTTTCCAACTCAAGTGATGTATACACTACATGATTCGGGAGACTATTGTTCCTTTAATGTTTCGTATTCAGCTTTTTTCTGCGTTGTTTAACATCCCTTGGTGCAAGAAAGTGGCCCAGTGTTTCCGAATAAGATTCAAAAACCAAACAGTGTACTGACTAGTTGTCGGCCGGTAATCTCAGCGGGAACTTGGTTTTCCCGTGTCATCAGAAACGAAACAATAGAGTGAAACGTAGCCGCGGAAACCTGGACGCGCGATAAAGTCAAAGCGACTGGGGCAGTTTACACCGCCGTTAGTCGCTTTTGGAATCGAAGCCCAACGGCTCTTGAGTGTAAATTATTCGCCGCATTTTTACGGACCCTGCAAGTGGACGACGAGTATCGTGTAATATTGGGGTTGTCATTGTTTTTGATTCCCTCCTCTGGGAAAAACCTAGTTTGATAATATCTTGTTCATGTTCCTTAGCTTGTTTTTATTCGACTACCTCTTACCTAGTGATGACAAAATGGATGGTAGTTCTTTAGGTGATTCGTGCGAATGAGGATTCGGGAGCAGCCCACCAAGTACGTGACAGTGTTGAGTACTTTGTATCCGCGACCATAAGCCCAAGGTTCATCCAAGCAACATTTGAACACAATATCGCGGTGACGCGGTGTGGAAAAGTTGCTATAGCCGGCGGGACACAGAAAGCCCAGGAGCGAAAAAAACACGTAATCCATTGGAGCCACCACCTTACGTCGTAATATATAGCCCACAATATGAATGAATAAACCGAATCAGCGAGCCAAGTCAAGCCTACAGCAGCAGCAAACCAATACAGTCCCGAATGCTCCACCTTTAATAATAACAGACTCATTATGTCTAAGTAATCGCAACTTTGGTGTAAACATTTCCCACTGGGGACCTCGTTTTTCGCCTTTTGCCACTGTTTTATCAAGCGGCCAACAACAAGTTTTTACATCAAACATAAGTCAAACACATGGTAAGAGGTAATGCCGAAAATCAGCTTGGTGCACTTATCTGAACCTAGGCCCACCCACTCGGGCTATAAAACATTTGCAGTGTAACAGTTTTGTACACAGTCAATCCACAAATCAAGACCTCCAAAAGAAACGCACACAGTTGCTCACCCTCCATTTGTATGTGCGACGAATAAGTGTGTATAAATTGGTGTAATCAAGACCGTAAACCTCCCGACTGGTAATAGAGGCTTTAGTATTTGCCCTCACAGAATACCTGGTATCCAAGACAGCTTACAACCCTCCTAAATGGTATGAACCGTTTGGACCAAGAGGTGATGTCTTCTGAACTGCGATTCAGTCCTGGTTATATCACACTCTGCCTCAGCGTTTGGCACTGGAGTAAAGAAAAAGGTTAATAATTTCCAGGTTTAAACTGCATGAGACTGTGTAAGTCGGAACCTTGAGGGGTGAAGAAACTCACTCTATATGGCACTTGAATTACGAAACCAAAAGTTTAGCTTTAATTCAATGGCGTTTAGCATGCACAGTCACTCACAAACTCGGCCTCTGCAACTTCACACTCGATCTTCGCTGACAAATTTAATGAGCGCACCAACTGATACTGAGCTTAGTTAGAGCTCCATCACCAGTATTTGCCCTAGGAACAACGAGTACTCAGACGGCCAAACGAGTGCTCTGAGACCTCTTGACCGCTTACATTTATTCAACCCCCAAACAAACTGGCCTCTTTGTAATGGTGGAGGGACCGGGCGGCACCTCAGTGTCTGCTATCAGTATTCATGAGAAAATGAGCCAGAGTTGGCTTAAGTGAACTTTGCATTGTCGTTTTGCTGTGTGTGCTGCTTTTGTTCGCCCTCATCACCTCCGGAAGCTTACAGTTAGCTTATACAGATCGCACCCCAAAATAGTGATGACAACTATAAGCGTGACCGACACCGAGGCGCTGCGCTTAAAGAGACCCTCAGCGCAACCCGTGGCGTGAACAACTGTTTCCCAACATACCCTGAAACTGGGAACCTCAGTCAAAATGGTGTCCTGAACTCAGGCGTACAACTGCCAAACTGCAGCTCATGCTCAGACAAAAGTATGCTTGAAATAATGCAGGTGTATTAATTTTCATCGAGGAATCCCTGGACATCTAGAACCAGCCCAATCAACATTCAATACGGGAGATCACCGGCCTAGCGAGTTTTGCGTGCACCCCGAGGTATCAAAATCATCGTTGATCAAACCCAGTCAGAAACCATGAACTTTCAATGACATCCAAATCTAACCTGTTTAAGACGAGATACCTACCTGCCCAAGGACCTGCACCGCATCAAAGCCATTCCGTTTGCTCCGTGCAAAGATGCGGCCGTTCTTGTTACGGTGGCGCACCCAGCAATACGCAAGCATTGCGGCCATTGCGCCAAAACTAAAACTAAACTACTTGTTGGCTGAAACCTCACCTGCACTCATCTAATCCTGCCTGCGTGACGGGACAATCACGTAGTGGTATTAGCTACCAGCACTCGCCTCTGGAGTTACATACCAAGCGGCGCCGCCTAAACTAATTAACCATGAGCCGAGATAGCAGATTTCCCAAGCAGATGCATCAATCACAAACTTGAAACAATGGCAGGACATGGAGAGATATGAATTCAGTATGGACTAAGGTTGATCAAAAAGCATCTAACACTCCAAAATTATTATCTCAGTGAAACCCAAAGAGATTGCTCACCGAAACTGATCTAACACAACTACGAAAAATCCGCTGCTAAATGAACTAAGGATAGAGATTGTAGTCGTTTCACAATCTTAGGTGAATTTGTTCGGTTGTTGCCCTAAAACATAAAAACCGAGAAACATACCAACGCTGCCTAGTTTGAGAAACATATATCGGGTCCATCTGTCGGGATCACTTTGAGTAGCCTGCCAAAACCCTAAATGGTCCGTTTTATTTGGTAACTTCTGAAGCCAGCTGACCTTCTATAATGGCAAACGTCTGACACAGGAGGTCCGACGGTTTGCCAATGTTGCCCAATTTTTTGAGGTAAAAAGGAAGATGAACAATGTCAGGGCAAAGTAGAACAGGGTCATCGGAGGGTTTCCAGTACACAAGTTATTGGTCATAGTCTGACAAGAATACACTCAGAACTAATCTCACAAAGGTTATAAGAAAAGGACCTGTTATTAAATTAAGCGTCCATTTCGGAAGCAGAAGAGATGGTAAACCTGCGTGAGCCTTCATGGTCCAAATTTTTCCCGGAAAAGAGACATTCACTATAGGCATTTGGTTCTGTCCGATTGTACTATACATGTATAGCATTACTGTGGCTGTGTTTTAGCCTCGCTTCGGGTGATGGAAGTCCATACAAGAAACAGTTTGGGCGCTATCGAAATTGTTATTTTGTTAGAACGTCAGCAATCGACGACCTATGGTTTCTCGCTGGTTTGATGATTGTTCGGTCTACCTATCTGCTGAGTGGAACCTTTGGTCTACGAATGACAACACAAAGATGTAGACCGGTTGACCTACTAAACAGTGGCTATTGTTTAGTAGCATGAAGATGGTAGACTTGATCGATCTCTATTGAGGTAATTAATTCATCTGAAAGTACGTAGACGATCACACCTTTTACGCGCCTCCCGAAATGATGTTTCTTATGGGTGGCAGGAATTCCAAATCCATGTGATGACCATGTCCAGGCAGTTGATAACTGCACTCCTATCCAATAATACCATTGTCCTGCACTTCTTGACAGTTTAGAGTGGTACGGATAGGACAGTGCATCTCGAACGAGGAAAGCGGAAGGTCAGAATCGGTAGTTCGTCCTACACTTGAGTTGATGTATACAGTGATGGACAATATTCCGTGATTCTGTGGTTTGATTTGCCTGATGATTATGAAAAATAGGAGTTTCGAACAACATTTCGTGTACGATTGTCGAGACCACCACTCAGCGAATAGTGAGGAAAACAGGAAGAATGTGGTTGTTTGCAGCCAATATCCAAAAATATTGACTAGTGGTTGGAGCTTCTTACTGGGAACCTTAGAGGCTGAGGACAATCAGTTTACGCGGAAGCGACCACGTGGAACAGGCGACCGCGATGAAATTGGTTGGAATATAAGAATATTAGGAGTTATAGAGTTTTACTGCTACCGTTTTGCAATCCTCGTGGAAAATTTTATTGGTAGACGATGACGTCTATCATCGAGTGAGTTCATCCCGCAGGACAACCTACATTCTGCCCTGCTTTTTCGGATGTGGCCACACTCTGTACTTGATATCCGACAGTTTGCCCATCTCAATAGCCGTTGGCCAGCACCAAGAACCAATGATTTCCTTAAATACACTTCGAATCCAACTATATACTATTGGAAATAGGCGGAAGGCCGTATGTCTCTAAGCTTTTGGGAATCCGAATCAACCTTCCTCGTAGCAGATAAGGAATGTTCATTTAAGTTTGTACTTGCGTCAAACAGATCATATGCATAATGCGAAGCCACATGATTTCCAGTTAAGATCTAGTCTTGAACAGAGCGTTTGTGACTCATGGTGAATAGAAGCCAAAACTAAGGTCGTTGGTTGCTCAGCAGATTACGCTGCTATCGCTGTATGGCGAAACCAGTTCCAATGCTGTCTGTTCAGAGTTCTAAATCCCGCATATCAAAGTGACATAGATGAGAAGCCTCAAATAAACGTGACCAGAGGGTTGGTTTCTGATGGATTTCTCAACTGCTGTAGTTGGCTTTATGACATGGCAAAGGAGATTGATAATAACACGAGACTCAACTGAGTTTCACCTGAATGTTTTGTTTGAATGTACCACACAAAGGTCATCTGTTGCCTCGGCTATCACTGCAAGCCTGTGATAGCCTAATGGGTTGTTTTTATCGGTGTTATACTATATATTACATAATCACAGTTACATATTATCTAAAAAAAACCTGACTTGTTTGTGAAATGATCTATTAAACATGCAACATGTGTATCCACTGTTGTTTTGTAAGGGAGCCATATGAAAACTACATTACGTCACGTGATCGGGGCCTAATGAACAACATTTGAATAACGGTAGGTCCGTTTAGAAGTGATCGACCCCAGAGTACGTACGTACGAACTGTACATACGAACCGTAGTCACCTAATGCTGTTAGTAATTTGCCTAGAATGAGACAGTTTAGCAACTTAAACATCAACATTTAATGTCTTTGTCGAAAGAAATTTTCTCGTAATCTTTTGACTAAGGTGTATCTATTGTTGCTTAAACTGAAACGACAACCAGAGACGCTCGCACTCGAGCGGCTTTGAGATTCTGGCAAGCTTCGTCGGCCGGCGATCACTGTTACAGCACTTGTCAAAAAATTCTTACTATAATGGGATCTACATGAGCACTTTCAGAAACAACTTTTTCGCGTAAATGAGCATATAGAAAGAACTAATTTTATGGACGAACTAACACTATCTAAAAAAATTTCGGGGCAAAATAAAACCCCCAGACCAGCACGTAAGCTGCAAGGGGGTACACACAACTATCTATTAGGGATCCCAAGAGAAGATACAGGTGGGATGCATGCATGAATGGAAGCGGGAAAGATCGTTTTCAATTAGCAACAGTGCGGTACCAAACAGGGCTGGACAACTTCAATCTCGACGTGAGTATCAACAACCTAACCAATTTCACTTTCTGAGCTGTAGCTCTTTTTTGTGGTCTCGTGTGAGCTCGCCATAGCTCACTGGGTATGGCCCGAAATGACTGACGCGTCACGGTAGCTGGGCAGTTCATATTTTTATTTATCACAAGGCCTTGACCACCACCAAGACGTTATGATTAAAGTCACTGAAAATCCGTCCACCCCTTCAACGTCCACGGCCAAACTGATTGAGGAATTCATGTTGCCCCCAAGAATTATGTGTGGACGAGCAGATTTACTAGTTCCGTTGGTCACAGTACTGTTGGGTGAGTCATTTATTCTGTCTACGCTTATCGATCAGCAACGAGACTCTCACACACCAACTACGCATAACTTTCCGTTTCGGCTTCTGATTGGTTCACCAGTTGTCTTTTCATGCGACGGGTGTCTGTACAGTTCTGGTTACCCTTTAAAACAGCTAATCAGGTGGCATCCAGACAGTTACCCTCTGATTGGTGGTCCGATGCATGTTTTCGGTATTTGCGGTTGTCTATTATGGGGTTCCGGAGAGGCTGAAAACGTTTGATAATGGTAACGTTTGATTGCCCAGCATTCAAGTTCGTGAGGCCGAACAATATGTTGACAAATAAAGAAAAACGGATTTAGTTTGACGCCACACGAATATTCTGAGAAACTATCACAGTATCACGTTACCACATATCGTTATCATGTATCTCAAGTGATAGACATGGCATAAATCTCAAGTATTCTGGTACATATTTAGGAAATCCTGTGCCATACATCCGAAACTCTTCCAGGCATCATTCATCCATAATTTTTAACTGAATGTTTTGTATTCTTCGCGTCTTCTCTTTGGAATCATCGGGAGAACGGGGACCTTTCTGGACACTTGACCTCGGAAAACAGGCGCGTTTGTATGGCAGTGCTGATAGGTGCAACTAAATGCAATTTTCTTTCGGTTTTATGTTCATCCAGGAATGCATCAAGAGGAATATTCTGCGGTCTTAAATACCTGATCTCGGAATAAGACGATGTTGAAGGGCGGCAGATGGTTTACTTTCAAAAAGATGTCCGCGACTTCATACGTAAGCTCCGAGCGAAGGAATATGGACAGGTGGGTACAATCCTACGCCAGAATTTTGACATATGCTTTTTATCCTTCCTGGGTTGGAGATAGTTGGACTTTGGGCTGTCTCCAGGTTTTTCTTGTCCAGACCCCTTGATTCCTTCTCAATAACGAGCTACAGATCGCACATTTGCTTCCTAAGTCCATGGTCACACTAAGCAAAATATCGACCCAGGCGATTATTGATAATGTCGGTTGTTGGCCTATTCTGATAACAGGAGGGTGAGGGACCTCGACTGTTTCTAATGATCCAGCTACTGTCAAGACCTGTGTTTCGAGTTATAGCGGTTGTTTATGGACGATGCGTAGTTGGATCACGAAAATCTAAGCCGAGTAAGAAGTCTCGTCAGGACTGGTAGTGCATTGTTTCCCATGTTCAATAACACATCGCCCATCTGATGAATGCCAGTGGAAGTAATACTCCTGAAACTGCCAGACGGACTGGGACATCTAATCGCACGCTGTATACTTAAGGACATTCTGGCAGCAACAAAGTGCATGAATTTTCTGACCGACTGAGTGAACCATCATTTTTGACTGAACCAGACAAGAGGTAATACACAATATCCGGGAAGGTCAAAACGACAGTCAAAAGAACAGTGCTCTGCTAGGTGGCGGATTTGTTCGCACAGTGACCCCTCTGCAATTCACTCTGGTAAAACGGTTTTCAAGCTAATGGGTTGATGTCATTAAATCCATCATTCAGTGTTGGGTTTCAGTAACAACTGTGTGAAAACGAATCACATTTCTGCGCGAATAAAAAAGCTTCATGTAATTATCATCGGGTGGTTAAATTAGGGCTTGTTACCATGATAGACCGTCAAACCGACCGATGTGTGGTAATTGCGTGTGTGATTTTTACGGACCAGAACGTCTGCGTCAGATTTGTTCATGGACCCTGGGAGCAGAAACTCCTGCATGGTCACCTTCGTCATCATCATTGACAGCATGACATCGGTGTTCAACACCGACGCTTCACTGCCGTACAACCATGACTTATTTGAAAGCCCTATTGTAAAGAAAAGAATAAAGTTGGATGGGGGAGGGACTTAGTGCTAGCTTAACATAATCATTCCGAGGTGCCTATACCTGCAGACATTCACTAAGGCAATCCGGATAGAAACTAACAACAAGAACGCTACTGACATCGGTTGGCAGCCATATCGTGTAGTGTATCCAACCAGGCACAGTGAGGATCACGTGGTATCCATTCTGGAAGGCGAGTAGCACCGACAGCACCCAAGCGTTTCGTCATCTTTTTCATACTCCTCTGCCAAGTCAAGGGTTGGCCACCTCTCTGTTTACGCCACTCCGAATTGGGCGTGGAGAACA